AACAATAAATGATTCCTGAAACTGACCGTTAACATATTAATGTCAAAAAACCAGACGACAAAAATCAATACTTAGAATCTTTATATATGATGAAATGAAATCGACGAGAAAGAGATTAGAATATGATTTATTCTCTCCCGATCATTTAGCTTGAAAAAGATTAAAAAACATTTATTTTTTTCCAATCCTTTTTGTTTATTTGTTAGAAGTATATATAAACATACAAGTTACAAGAATATATTTTTAAAAAATTTATCTAGAATAATTTACTTTTTTTTTTAAAATAACTAGAATACCTTATCATTTTTACTGTTGAAATAATCTATTCTGAATTTTTTTTTTCATAATACCAAAATTATCTTTGGTAGACTCTGCCGAAGTATTGGCAGACTATGGCGAAACATTAGCAAAGTCTGCCAATATTTTGGCAAAATCTGCGTATTTCTAGATATTGGCAGAGTCTGCCAATACATCGGTAGAGTTTACCAATGTTTCCGCAGATTCTGTCAATGATTCGGTAGAGTATGCCAATGATTCGGTAGAGTCTGCTAATATTTCGGCAGAGTTTGCCAATGTTTTGGCAGAGTTTACATATTTTTAGATATTGACAGAGTCTACCAATACATCGGTAAAATCTGCCAATGTTTCGGCAGAGTCTGCCAATACCTCGGCAGAGTCTGCGAAGAACAATTTTGGTATTATGAAAGAAAAAAAATCTAGAATATGTTATTTCAACAATAAAAAAAATAGTAAAATTATTCTAGCTATTTTTAAAAAAATAGGTTATTCTAACTAATTTCTCAATATTTTTTAATAAAACATCAAATCAAATAAAGAAACTCTCTCTTCCAATTGTATTGATATTTTTAAGAGCCATGGTTACACAATTTAGAATAAATGATAAATTATTCAATAACAACTATATTTTCTTTCAATACATCCGTTTATAAAAAAATTAAGAAAAACTAGGATAATCATAGATGATTCATATACAAACGGATCGGTTAAAGTAACAATTACAAAAATGTCATTTTTTGTGTGCACATTTGCAAAAATACCATTTAGGAGTGTCAATTTACAAAAATACCACTAATTATAATTTATAAAGCCTATATCTTAAAATTCTAAACCCTAAAAAATATTTGACACAAAAAACTCCCTAAACACTCAAAATTAAACCCTAATTGAATATAATTAACCCAAACATAAATAATATATAGAAAAAATAATTTTGAAAAAATAACATTTTTGTAAAAATTTCAAAAATGTGGCATTTTTATAAAATAATACTTAAAATGTGGCATTTTTTAAAATTTATCTTCATTAAAATCTCAGTTATATGTAGAAAAAATCAAGCCACCACATGGATATTCGCATCCAAACTAAATTATGAATTTTATGGAAAATGAAAGAAAAACTGTCATATATGAGATGAAATTAATATAAAGAATTAATTAAAACTTTTTCGAGAAATATTAAATTAATCCAAACTTAGTAAAAAAACAAATGTAAAAAAGTATCTGTCATATACTGTTTAAAATATAGCTGTCAAGTATTTTTATAAAATTAATAAAAGGAAATTTAAAAATAGCATAAATGAAAAAAAAAAGAAGAAATTAACAATATACATTTCGAATCATTTATATAATACATACTTCCTTTTTTTTCCAACATATATACAAAAGACTCAAAACTCAAAATTTTCATTATCAATATCTGTAACTATCTATCTATATTCGCAAATATCTTAGCTGTATCCAAACAAACCTCCAAATATTTTGGATATAATTCGAATCTACTTCTACTGATAATTTGAAACCAAATTAAAAGATTTTTCTATATATACAAAGTGCAAAATAATCTCCAAAACGACACGTAATTAAAGTATTGTTTACGAACTTAACGAATACG